CTACCTTCTAGACAGAATTTTTGTATATTTTAAGTTCTATTATTGACTATTCTCATCCAGTCTAACTGAGAGAACTTTATAATTTTTGAATACTTTGTGCCTTATGAGGGAAAAAAAAGAGTATTTAGAGATATTATACTGCAAGTCTTTCAACTTTTTTAGTAAGATGTCTTGCCAAAGTTATAGGTTGCTGAGGTCAGTTCAGGATGGTATCTTGCAGCACGGCCCAATGCTGTGTCACGAATGTATATGTGGACTTAGTTTTTCAGTTGTGCTGGACTGCTGCACTTGAACTAAATGAAGTTGTCTTCTGCTTGGATTTCTCTCATGAATGCCTATGACTGTATATAAATAAATGTGGTGATGAACTCCTGGATGTTCCACGGCAATTCCGTGCTTGGATGGCAGTGGCTAAATAAATAATGAATTAGCCTGGCTCAAGAAAGCTTGTTTTACTGGACAACCTCTGCATACAGTACGTGGCACATGTGTTTGGGGCTTACAGCAGCACGGTATGGGGCCAAGTCTAAACAAATGCAGTGAAGTCTGAGTGAAAAAGCCTCCAAGTTCTCGTGTGCAGACTATACAATGAGATAACAAAGAAAGTCAGTTGTTAGGCATCCTGCTTATCATGAATGACAGAAAGTTTTCCCCAGCTAAGGATGTCTTTCCTCTTGTCTTTATCTAGTTTAGCAATACTTTATCTGACCTCTTCCTGCATGTCCTTTATGGGTGACTGAGACCATAGCAGGGGCTTCAGCAAAGGAAACCGCAAGGAGAAGCTTCTATTTTAAGTTCCAAAGCTACAGTGAAGAAATAGCACCTTCCTTTTACATAAACATATTCCTTGAAGTTTTCCAGTCTTTAATAATTTGTATACATTCATGTTACTTCTCTGTTAACACTTGTTTGTTTTGTAGATCCTCACAGCAGCCAAAAACACCAGCAGGGTTCTCCCAAAGGAGCAGGTTGTGCTGCCTTTGTTTGCCCCGTGCCGCGGAGGAGGCCGGAGGTCAGGACGGGCTACACCAGCACGGACACTGGCAAGAAAGGGGCAGGAGCGCCGGGGCTGTTATTGTTATTCTGTTATTGTTATTATGCGCATAAAATCTGCGGCATGACCTTGTCATTCCTAGAGCCTGGGCTGATTGCAGGCTAAGGAACCCTGAGACACACATTTGCTGAGCGAATCTAACCTGATTTTGGAGGCAGAGTGAACAGAATACTGATGGGGTGCCTTTCCCTGCCTCTGCAGGGCTGCTTTGAGACCACTGACTCATTTCGTATGGGTCATAAAGCAGCTATTCATCGCTAATTGCTTTTGTCACTTGCTCTCCTGAACTAAATCTGAACTCCCTGGAGAAAAATCACTGCTTGCCTTATCTTCGGCACAGGCCGGGACACAGACAAATAAATGTATTTCTCATAGTTCTTTATAATTACCTCAGTGGTGACTTTATGTGCCTTTTTGTAAGTGCTGCTAAAATGCAGCACTGCTGTTTTAAGGGTAGGGCGTTAGTGGAACTTAATGTAAACAGTGTAACTTGTTATGGCAGTAGCATTTCCTTGCTGTGCTTTTGGGGCTCTTTACAAGTACTCAGTAGATGAGTCCTCATGCCACATTAGGGCAGAAATTCCCACCTGTATTGTTCAGATCCAAAACTGGGTGTTACTGGGGATGTCACAAGAGAGCTGACTTGGAGGTTTCCCCACCACCTCTTTGCATGCTCTTTTCAGCCTGGACTAGGCTATCTTGCAGTGTGCATGGGTTTGTATTTTTTGCTGCAGTTGTTTGAGGAACTTTTTTTCTTTTTTAATATAAAGCATCACCTGGAATTTTTTTTTTCCTCTCTATTTCAGTTGTAGTTAGGGGGCAACATCTTTTTCTTTTCTCAAGAGCATTCTTCAGTTTTCTTAGTTACAGACTATAATGTGCAGTTGCAGCGTGTGACCCTGTTCCTAGAAAAGCTAAAGAAACCTGCCATGTCCTGCAGCTGGAACAGGTAGGTCCTCAGGGCTGTGATCAGTTAATATTTAACCTTTTAATTAACTCTGCTTTGAGTTTACTGTTCCAGTCTCCTGGGTGTGCCTGCTAAGAAAAGAGGTTTGCTGCTGAAATGCTGTTGCAAAGTCTCTGCTAACAAGAGGGTTGAAGTTTCTAAGATTATGGTCTCTAGAGGCCTTGAAGGGAGATCTGGAGCAAATGCAAGTTTGCATGCGAGGTACACACTACAGATGTGTATGTATGTGCTTCAAAATGGGATGTGTTAAGCCTCCTTTCTGGTCCTAGCCAGTGATGCTAAAGAAAAAAATTATTAAAAGCACAAACATTTGATAAGGTGGCTGCTGATGAACCAACCTGGAGTTGGGTTTTGTCTGTGAGGACAGGTCAGTGAAAATGGATATGCTAGAATTTTGATTTCTGTGCGTGAAGCCATTCTAAGGAGGAACATGAGGATAAGAAGATTGAGGGAGGCTGGAGGAAGTCTTCTTTTCCATGCATTTTTTTATCTTATCATCTGCAACATTTTTTTTCTTTTTATCTCCCCACACCTTCAGGACAGAGAGGACAGACAATACACATAGGATGTCCGCTTTCTCAGTAAAAGTGATCTGCTCTCAATATCTGCATTAGTGTTATTTCCAGTGCTGAGGGCGAGAAGCTTCAAGTTTTTCTGGTCCCTCAGACTTGAATGGTGAAGCACCATGGTTGTGGCTGCTTATAGGGCTCTTGTGTTGCATCCGTCCCTGTCAGCACCAAGTCATGTAGCACAAGGCGAGGGCAGATTCAAGGGGGCTTATTTTAAGGCTCTCTTTGCAGATTTGCAGGGTTCTTTTGAGGGGATGAGGATGGAAGGCAAGGTGCAAGTTGAAACCCAACTTTTTACTGGGCTAAAACAGCAGTGTTGAGGTGGATTTGAAAGGCAGAAAAGAAGCACGAGTTTCCACCAGCCCTGGAACGCTTGGAAAGCATCACACTCCGGACACAGAAAGCCCGGGGCTGAAGCGTGCCAAAGGATGATAATAATACAAGGCATGTTGTCTGCTGCCTGATAGCCCTGTCCTGCTGCACTGCTGCCATGGGTTGGTGCCTCCTTAGCAAGGGAGCAGCCCTGATGATTGCAGAGCTCTGCAAAGCGGCAGGGCCAGCTCATTAGCTCTGGGGGTGGAGGGTTAGTGCCAGTATCAGTGGCAGCCTCATCAGGAGGACAGCCTCATCCGGGCCTCAGTTATTCACATCCAGCTGCCCACCAGCCACAGAACTTTGTTCCCAGGTGCTTCTCAAGAGGTTATGGGTGAAAAAATCAGGCTAAAGGGGGCACAGAGAGGATCTTTTTCTAGCCAGTCGTAGCAGGAGGGTAAAGGACCGCAGCACTTGGCCTGGGGAGCCATGACGAGAGGAGGTGTGAGGCGATGACTGAAGTTACCAGGTTAAGCACAGGGCCTGTGTGCCTGATTTACAAATACCAGTGATCTTTATTTACACAGACATGTAAACAACAGAAGGTAAACAACGCTGCCCGCCTCGCTCTAACAACCAGGCTGCTGCTGCTGCTTCGCTTCGGAACCTGAGGTGTCTCATACATTTCACAGAAACCGTGTCGACAGCAAACACAGGAAGGCTACAAGGGTACCTTGACTCTTTTGTCTCTGCACAGGATCACATGCACTGTGCGTGAGCAGGAGAGCGCTGCACCACTGAGGCCACAAAACAAGCAATATGCAAAGAACCCACTACGAGCTTCTCTTAAGATCAGGTATGGTTAAATGAGCAGTATTTGAAAATAGGATCACTATAGCTATTCCTCTCACAGCACTTCCAGCCACAGCTCTGAAAACACCTTACACAGAAAGAATTTTTGTCACATCCTTTGCCAGTTATCCCAGTTTACCCACTCAGAAATGGAGGCTCTTGAGCCAGTAAGCGACTTTCACACAGATCAGATTTTACCGTCTGGTTTCCCAGTCTTGTGCCTTAAATATAGCACCATTCTTCATCCCCCGAAGTGTATCGCTTCCTGGTATTTTAGGAAACACTTCTGCACACAATGTGAGGCTCCAAGGGACAGTCCCAGTCACTGTGGGAAGCTGCTCAGCTTCAGTGACGCCCCTGCTGAAAGAGGAGCCAAGGACGGTGCAACATGTTGCACCTATCCCTGCGCTTCTTCAAGTTTGTCCACAGAAAGAAATAAGGATCATATTCCCTGCAAAAGGAAAACGCTTTGAAAATGGCCCTGCTGATCCGCTCTTTTGCAAATTTAAATGCTGTAGTAGAGCTTATACACATTGTGCTTTACTTGGTCTAAATATTTCAAGTAGAAACAATACACCAAATTTGTGGGACAGAAAAACACAAAGTGGAGCAATGCAGAGCTGAGAACAGATACTGCTGTGTGTCAAGGAGCAACTTCCTTATAGTCTAGCAGCAATAGCATCATCTGGGGCTCAAACAGAATTTAATTCTCACCTATAAATTCACATTTTGGTTTCACACACATTTCTTGAAGAAACAGATAAAACAGGTGTTGTTGATTGCAGATGTGTCTGCAAAGTAATCACCATGGCTTCCAACCCAAAACAGGTTTCAGCCTTTTACCTGTCTTTAACATAAACAGCAAATTAGACAGGCTTAGCTTGTAAGCCAGATTAAATTCAAGCATGTAAAAATTACTACTGAAAAGCAGTAATGGCAGCTGGAAAGGTGGATTCGAACTCTGCATTTAAATGCTCAGCTGCCTTTTCTTGTGCACTTTATGCTTCAAGTAGTTTTAAGTCTTCTACTCTCCCAAGAAGAACTATAGCGATGCTCTGTCTTCAGTTATCAGAGGAAAGGAAATGAACCACCACAACCAAAAAATACACAATTTACAGCTGCCAGTGCAACAGCAGGCAAAATAAAGTCAGAGGAGGAAACCTGTTTTGTTTGTTTGTGTTTGTTTTTTTAAACAGGCCTTTCTGCAGTAGCTGTTATTTTCTCCTTTCAATTCCACAGGTGAAAAGGAAACTTAAAAAAATTCTCCTTAAATAAAAACTATGTACAAATTGCACACATTGCAAACAGAGCACTGAGATCAGTTACGGAAAATAAGATATACAGTCTTCAGCGATAACATCTCTCTTGCTATAAACAGTGATAAACAGCATATGCTTTCTTCAGATGTCAGAACCCAGCAAGACTGCAATATTATGTACACAGGGTTTGTTTGCCTTCTGCCTTCCACAGTAGGCTCCTTGAAAACTCTGTTTTCCTTTCGGAAGCTGTACAGTAGCATTTCTGTGCACCAAGTCCCTCGTGCTCAGCAGATCACAGGAGAGCTGTCATTGCTGTCTGGCTTATAGGTTTTAGGCAGTCTCTAGGTGTCGAGTAACCCTCACTTCCTAGGGAATTCGCTTGAGGCTTCTGGTAGTCCGTGCTATAGCTCACGGAGGTCAGGATCCCGTTCGCTTTCGGCTTGTCATAGTTCATTACACTGTGAGGCGTCTGGTAGTCCCCGTTCCTGGCCTCGGCCTGGCAGGCGCCGGGGAAGCCGCCCGCCGACAGCGAGTGCTTGTGGGCCGCGGTCACGGGCACGTTGTAGCCGTTCTCCGCGGGGACGAGGGCCTTCTCCCGTGCCACGTGCCGCTCAATGATGGGGGTGGCGTACTCGGGCTCCGCGCTCGCCAGGGGCAGCGCGTATTCGTGTCGGGCCGCTCTTTGCGGGCAGTGATAGTGGCTCTCGAACTCCGAGCTGCCCCTTCTGCCCTCGTCGTCGGTGTCCATGGGCCTGAAGGTGGATCCTTTCCGTGTCACCGTGCCGGTTCCGATCATGAGAGGCTGCTGGTACTCTGAAAGGACGCACGGGCTGATCAATAGCGCATACACAGACTACTTCATCTAGCTGAAAAATGGCTCCGTTACTCTATTCTGTTAGCGGGTATGTGAGGAAACGTTGTCCCGACTGCAATCCTCAGCAAGCAGGCTGAAGTTACAGAACTTGGCAGAAGCTGCTCTACAGGGAAGCTGCAATCTGCCATCCCTTCTCTTCCTTCCTTTCCCCACCTACCCACCCAAATAAATTTATGTCATTTATGGAGTATCCTCATGCGCTAAAACCGGGAAAATCAGCAAAATATTAGCAATGAATCGAGCAAAAGATTTTACATGAAGTTCCACCACCGAGAAGTTCCACTTCTGAAATAATTAAAATGCCTGGAGGATCCTTAAAGCCGGCACTTGGTAGGGCTTGTTATTTCAAAGGGATCGCACAGTCCTTGAGTGACAGGAAGGATAAAGTTAGATGGAATGGCAGCCAAGAGAGTCAAGGGAAGTGTGAAATGTGTTAAGTCGGCTCAGAGCTGAAGCGTGTGCGTGTGAGGAGGAGCAGGCCGTAGGAGACGAGGTGGGAACAGCGCTGCAGGAGGCAGTGGGCAGTTACCTCAGGCAAGGAGGACGCGGATGACAGGGAGAGACAAACAACCAGGTAGGAGCAAGAAGCAGCGTGAAGGGAACAGAGCTCAAGCAGCGCCTGTTTCCACCTCTAGTTAAGGAGCATGCCAGGCCACCATGTAAGGAGAAGTCTGATCTAAAAGGGTTCTCAAAAGATACCAGATAAATCAGTATGAGAACATCCAAAGTTTTAACTTTTTTGCATTAACGCTAGTGAAAACTTCTTGTTTATATAAATGCTGGCCTGAGCAGCTATAGTAAATGACACTGCTAAGGTATCATGTTTTGATGCAGGCGTTAAGAAGCTAACTCAGTTTCTGTTCTGGCATCATGGTTCATCTGACATGAGCGTTGAATTCAATCCCATATGTCCTGTGAATCTCTTTGGCAGTTCCTGGCTCCTTCCCAAACTTTAGGGTGTAGGGTGAAGGGTGTTATGATATTTCAGTAAATAAGTAATGCGGTTTTCTCCTGCATCACTGCTGCCGTTCTGAACAATTCTTAGTAGCTTAGAACGAAGCGTCTCGACTTGTTCTGGGCTGTCCTTGGGAAGCAGTAATGAGCAGGGAATTTGAAAGGGAAGAATTTAATGCAGAAGGAAACCTACTAAAGTATGCAAGTGGCATGTCATCTGCAATCTAATTATTAAACAGCCTTTGCTGCAAATTTCTGGGCTTCGGTCATTTTTTATTTTGTGTTTCTTATTTTTAAGGTGGACTGTAGGTGAGATACTGAATCTCAAGGAGCTGCCAAGGCAGCCTCAGAGTTAAGAATTCTCACAGTGCAGAAGGAGAAGATGGAGAAAGCAGAGACATCCTGGGCATGGTCAGGATAGCCAGATAACCCTGATTTATGAAGAACTTCCATTCACTCCCTTTCCTTCATGAAATAAAACTGCTTTATAGATTTTTTTATGCAGAATGTCTCTTTAAAGCAATGAAGCCATCTTTTACCATCTTTGAGAGATATCCAGAGAAGCACCACATGGAATTACATTAACATTTTTTTTTAAGCTGTATTTCTCTGCCAAACACAGTAGGAGAAATTCTAAGGAATTCTAAGGCCTGGAGGCTGGAAACAGTAGATTTATCCTTCTGGGAGATCACTGCTCACTGATCCCATAAAATGGCTGGTCTCACTAGCCTTTCCAGACAGAGAAACTGGGCAGGGGTAAGAGGTGCTAAGAGGCTGAATTAAAAAAGGATTCCTCCAGGATGCAGATAGCAGGGATACAGGGATTTGCTCTGTCTAAACAATGACCTGGAGGCAAGGTAGCACAAGAGGGAAACACATCTTGTTTGTTTGCTTTCTTCTCTCTTTCTCCTGCGCCTACTTCACTTCGGGAGGCCTACGCTCTGAAACAGAGAAGGCACCGAGAGCTGCACAGATATCTCAGCGCAGCCTCTGGCTGTCTGTAAAATCCCTCCACAAAATCACCTTGTCCGTTTGCTCAGCAGCTAGGGCCCTTACATTTTGTTCTACTTCAAGAGGCATTTGGCTTTAAATAGAAATCTCAAAATTAGTCAGTGAACTTACTATTGTGAAGCAGGGAATATCTGGCTTGATATCTCCCCGCAAAGAAATTCCAAAACAAAAGTCCAATAAAAATCGAAGGACTTGTCGCATGTGTGTGTGTGTGGTTTTTAATATATTTGTCAACTTCATTAAATATCTAGGATAAAAATGGGCAAATCCGCTCCTGAACCTCAGCTGTCATGAGAGCTATGGCCTGTCCCTCTTCTTGGCATCTACTCAGCACACAGGGTAAAATAAATGCATCAGAGGACAGAAATTGTTACCTGCCATGTCACTCATGACCAGATCTAGCTTCTGCGGAGTCTCCTTTTCATTGCTATAGCTAATGGTAAATTCAGTTGACTGATGTCTGGTGAAAGGCTGCTTGATTTGTTTCCAACAACCTGTAACAAAGAAATAAAAATAGAAAACTTCAGGGCTTGTCAGAAAGGTAATTTTTATACATTGCAACCAATATATTAAAGTAACTTTTTTAAAAAAACTAAAGCAGCTTGTTCAACAGCAAAAACAACAAAAAATGAACCCCAAACGAAACCCCATAAACTTAGAAAGTGGAAGAGAAATAAATGAACCATCAATTAGGCTCTTCTAAGTGAAAACTACTTTTTTTTTTTGCTTTGGTTTCTTGGCAAAAAGGTTTCAAACTTTGTGGGTGCCAGCACTGATATTAACATATTTTGTTAAGGTATCAGCTCTGTATAAGCTAAATATTTTGCTGTCACTTATGTGGCAAAAATAGTGCTTCAAGTGTCTAGAGCATTTCTTTTTTTTCAGTGGACTAATATAGCTTCCATTTCCCTGCTATCTGGGCACCTGCACTTACCAATTAATTTGTTCTCACAGCATCCTTGTGGGGCAGAAAAGAGAAATTCCACTGTGAAAATTACATGTCTGGGGCCTGTGACAGGAAGTCTGTAGAGAGGTAGGTTCAACTTCCAGCTTTTTAAGTCCCAAGCCTGGTTCACAGCTTTTAGGAGCTTCATTTAAGAAGCATATGCACGGCAAAGGAACTGACTGGATAAGAGGCTATCTCCAATTTCATGGGATTTGTCCTCATTAGCAAGTGAGAAAGGATTATATGATGTGACCTTCAGGAATCATTTTAACAAATAATATCTTAAGTACAAATTAATTTTCTAATGAGGGTGAGCTGAAATGGGTAACAGAGCATCTTTTGCTGACGTCAACATGTGCTGAGAGATGAAATTTTGGAAATGAGCTGCTGCGAGAAATTTGTCAGCAGGAGAGAAGTGAATGGCTTCATTTCTTCTCTTCCACTTTATGAAACACTGAGATTCAGAAGGGCATTCCCCCACGGAGCTGTCAGGTGAAGAAAAGAAGCTAAACCTCAGCGTCCAAGCTGACAGGAGGCGCCACCCCAGAAAGCTTGATTGAGCCACCCAAAGCACGTTGCTTCACCGGGACTTTGCAGCGCTCTTCTGAAGCCAAATTCTCAAGCCAAAACTCTATGCAGATTTTACATGTGATGTACAATTCAGTATTGTTAGGTTTTGTAAGTAGAGTCTCAATCAAGGCAGGCGGTAAGAAGGAAATATTAAAGTCATAATAAAATTATTAGCCATTCTTCTATTGGAGAAAATCCCATGTGCTTGGAGGAAGAAAAAAGGAAAGCAGCAGTTTTCTGCAAAAAAAATAGTTATTTTGGAGGAGGGAAGGGAAGGGAGGGCACCTGGGAGCACTCTTATATGCTAATTTATGCACTTTGTATAATAGATCTTTTGTTAATTGCCTTTTTGTCATAGAAACCAAATTATATTGTTTTTCTGGGCACTGTACTAAAATGACACACGTGGGGCTATCATTTGCCTCTACCCTTGTATGAAATAGTCAATTCAAACGAAGAAACCTGGATGCTGTTTCATAAGCATTTCATGCTTAATGCATCAAGCCCTTCCCACCGGCCCCACAGACAGGACAGGATAAAACTCATGATCCTCCACTAACCTGATTTCTGAGCATTGGATAATCCATAAGAAAGTCCTTTGGTCTCTCGCCTGTAAGCACAGGAAAACATTTATAAACTTCTGCACCCACAGCATTGCATTTCATCCTCGTTCCTTAGCCTCAACAGAGAGAATCGACATGTCTAGAGGGTGAGGACAGTTGTTCACTTTTCTTTTGTGGAGGAGAGCAGTTTTTACAGAGTAAGACATGCAAGACAGCATTCTGACATTCAGCTTTTTCCCCCCATCTACAGACAGGTTCTGAGTGCTGGTGTTGCTGGTTCTTCTGCTCGAGCTGGCACCCACGGTTTGATGTGTGCATGTCCTTACATGTTGCTCTGGGGTCTGCTACTCTGAATTCTTTCACTGGTTTATAGATTTCTCTGGAAATCCAGGGTGGATTTGGGTACTGTTAATGATAAAGTAACATCACAAGAGATTTGTTTATACTTCCAAATCCCTATCTGCTGACAGAAACATTTCCCTGGTCGCCACTCAGAGGCAAGTTCATATGAATGGACATCTCGCAAGAACCAAAGCTAGTAAGATTTCTTTAATGTTTATTTTTTATCTCTTATAAGGAAGTGGCTTAGAAATCTGCTGTAGCGTGTGAAGTTTGTGGGTACTTATGAAGTATGTGTTGCACTCCTTGTAGAACAGCTCTGATTTCAGCCCTCCCAAGTGGAGGGCTCTAACTTAAAGAGACCAGGAGGTAGAAACAACAGGAGGGAAGCGGAAAAAAATTATTCAGATAGCTCAGATCTTACCCCAGCTGAATTTCTTACTTCGCTTTGGTATGGAAACTATTCCATCTTAGTTTGCATTATCCCCTGGTATTTGTGGGTCCAAGTAGGCTAAAGAGAATAACCAGTTACGCGGGACTCTGCAAATCAGGGTATGCAGTTCTGTCCTACCTCACCTTTGTTTTTGTCTCACTGAGGGATGTTTGAAATACAATTTACAAAGACACAACATGAGTTCTGTTTAAAAGGAAGACTTTCAAACAAGAACAGCCTCTCAGTGGAGTGGCTCTGGAAAGGGGGCAGTAGCTGAAAGCGGCAGCTACGTAGCCATGAACACGTCCTATGACAAGAGACAGTGTCTTACTTTCGTAGAACTGCATAGATACCAATTCCAGAGAACAGGAACAGACACAGCGCTATGAAGACGGGGACAATTATAGCTGTAAGCTTTAAGCCTGCATGGAGAAAAAAAAAAGAAAAAGAAAAAGAGAGAGAGGATGAAAGTTAAAAAGGCAAATTACTTTGAAGCTGGATAACGTTTGCGATAGAGAGTACGGCAAAAGGCTGATAATTTTGCATGAAAACATTAAACTATAAAAGTGCTAGACTCTTCCTCGACCATTCTTTAATGTCACACATATACCTGCTCCAAGGAGTTAAATATATTTTCTCAAACTTGACTAAATACTTATATTCAATCCTTCCAAAGAGCAGTTCTTTCTTATTACACACTAGGTAACTTTCACAAATAACAGCTCTATTTGCCATCACTTATAAAACTGCCAAACAAGGCTGTGATTTTACATGCTGAGTACCTGGCTCATGCTGCCCTGGTTGAAACAATTCAGTCAAAAGAAAGAGTTCAGCAATTTCCATGAATGGTACAAGGGTAAAATATGTCGTGTCCATGTTAAAATCTAGGGTTAGAGCAGGGATGTGAAATGAAACAGCAAAGTGGCTTTTGTGCCAGCCATGTGCCTATCACCACTTCTGCAAGTGGCACTTATAGGGCATACAATAAGGGAATACACATGTCCAAAGGAAACTTAAATTTAGCACTTAAAGTCTCAAAGCATGTCCTTTTCAGGGAACCCTGATACCGCTTACTCATACCTTTGCTCAGAGAAACTGAGCTAGGCAAGAGCGATGATATTTCAGGAGACCTTTTCTTTTCTTGCCACGATTGCTCCTCACAGCTTGTTTGTTCACAGTGATAATGCTACAAATATCAGTGCCTGCCCTGTGCTGGGTGTAGTAGGGTTGGTAGTTCCTATCTGGCTGTGGATCCATCAGGTAGTCAGCATGAAGAAATTGAATTTGCTTGCTTTTTAAGATCTAAGAAATCACCTTTACAGCGTTAAAAGACAAAGACTGCAAATTAAGGCACTCAAAGGATTAAGATGTATAAGAAGTTGCCCGGGAGCCCCCTTGGACATGTTTGATTACACAGTTGTAACTCGGCTGTATCTTGCTTAGGGCAGGGGTCCTACTGTGGGAAGGAGTCATGGTCACGGGGGGAGTGATGTTTTTGTGAGACCTCTGACTCAAAAATTAGAAAATACATTGGAAAAAAAAGTATGAAGATAAGGGCCCCTCCAACAAAATGCTGGTAGAATTCCCAGTGTGCTTCCCTGAGCCTACCAAGCACAGCAAATAAATCAATATGACAGGGAAACCAATGCCTGATATTTCTCATATCAAGAAAAAATAGAAGTATTCAATTCAAGAAGTATTCAATGACAGAACCAGAAGAACCTTTGTTCCTCCCGCTTCTCTTTGTAGATGACCTTTTAAACTCTCTGAAGGGAAAATAAAAGTTTGGATTTCTGAGAAAGTTAAGTCAGGGATGAAGTTGTGGTGTGTGCTAAAGAAGTCCCGCTCCGTAGCCTTACCCAAGTTACTTTCTTCTGATGGGATGGGTTCTGTGACTGTTTTGTCTTCTTTCCCAAGGGAGGTCTCTGTGCTCTGGCTTGGTTTTTGCCACATGGAATGTGTAAACGAACTATTGCCTGCAAACGGGAATAGGGGATCAGCTGCACCGCGGTCGCACAGCCCCGGCCGGGTGCCCTGCCTGGGAAGTGGTGCTTACCCCATACCTTGCGTGACTCGACAGCCCAGCAGCTCCAGCTTCAGGGCGATTCTTTGGTTCCAGGTTTGGGGAATAACTCGCACATAACGGGCCACTATCGGAGGGATGAAATTATTACGTACAATATCACCGGCGTTGGAGTTGCCCTGGAAAACCTACAGCAGGATGCAAGCACATGATGGCTCTGTTTTAAAAGTGCGTTGGTCAAAAATACTTCTGACATCCACATTTAAACATCGCCATTGCCCTAATGTTAATTTATTGATAATCTGGGACGCAACCACAGATTTTAGAACTAAGAACTCTGAAAAGAAATAATCTTATTAGTGACAGATGATCACATTTTGACAATTGCTCAGATAGAGAAGAACATCATCACTCTGGTTCAATTCTGTGTAAATTCCTAGTGTATCCTGGCATAATGCATCATTTTTGATTTAATAGCACTGCAGTGTCCTTACTTAGGCAATTGAGGATAAAAATATAAGAAGAAAAATAACCCAATCTTAACGTTTATTGAAAGTAAAATATTTCTAGACATTTTAGTAAAATTGTCCCTTTTCTGTATCAAGATCGAATGAGTGACTATTAGCCATGTATAGTCTGTGCCTGTACAGTATTTCCCAGGGTCAGTCCAGCACAGTACAGATAGATCAAATGCAAAGCTGTGTAGGTCGCTGATGGGACAGGCTCTGCTACGTGCCTGTTAGAGCCAAGATCAGATATTACAACTTCCTAAGAGTCTTTATAAATAACAAGTCATTGTGAAACACTGGCAAACAGCAGATTTTCAATGACAGTTTTTCATAATTCAGCCAAATTCAGTAGGAAATTTCTCTCTGCAGGCCTAGCAAGTTTTTAATATGAGTAGCCCAGGCTGAAGAGCTGGATACAAACTGAGTTTCCTGGGTCGCACTAAAACAATGTGTGAAACCAGGCTTTGAGCTTTTGGAATGAACTTTGAGGTTGTTTTAAGAAAACCATGAGATTTTCACAGAAAAAAATGTTACTGTCTGACCTTGTGCATTCAAGTTCACACACTGATTCCTGACAGACTTAGCCTGTGCCTACACACTTTTGTGTGACGAATTTGGCCAGCCCGGGGCAGAGCGGGGCCTAATCCCGATTAACACAACACGCTGCGAACAAAGGCCCTTTCCATAGGCGCAGCTCTCCCCGCGACGGGGCACTTTCACCGGGGCTGGGCCTTTTTCTGCCATATGGTCAGAAATGCAGCTTTGCTGACGCCGTATACACCGCCCCGCGGTGCTCTGGAGCCTTCCTGCTCAGAGCAGCGTGGAGCCCAGCACGCGTCCACATGGCCTTTGTGCAGCTTTAGTTACACAGCTCTGGGGCTTTTATTTTTAAAATGATACTTACACATAATAAAACACATCTCCCTATGTACCTGTAGCTGAAACTTCAGAAAGCCCCACATAACCTCCTGGTTTCAACAAGCTCACTCTCTACTTCAGAGCTAAAGTAAATCAATGAGGACAATTCAAGTCTGGACAAGTCTAAAACTCCTCGTCTTTCTTGACAGTAAAAGTCTGTCCTTCAGCGTCAAGGCAGCATAAGCATTTTTCTGTGTTTTCCCACGCCTCCTTCTCTTACCTTTTCTTCGTTGCTTAGAATTCCTTTGTAAGGTCTCCATTTCGAGTTGTTATTTCTGTAGTTCATTATAAATGTCTTTACATAAAAGTCAAAATTCAACATAGATCCAGAACCAGTGGTCCTAATTCCTTGCAACAAAAACAAACACACAAAAAAGATTTCTTAGCTCTGTTTCTTAAAGGAACATTTTCCAATGCAATACACAGAGAAAACAGTCCAGAGAGCTTTGCCTTCAAGGTCTTAATTTACTTTGAAACTATGTCTGAAAGTCAGGAGTGAGTCAAGCAGCAGAGGGAAGAAGGGAAATCAGTTTTAAATTGCAGATTTCAACTTCAGGAATTTTTAACAAAACCCTTATTAATAACCCTCAAAATAGTAATTACTTTTGGATATTATGGTTCATATCAGCAGTTTTTCAACCTCTATAGCAGCAACTGTAATTTATATTTTTACAGCTAATTGGCAACAGAGATCTCTTTCACCTGGGCCATTATTTCAAAGACTACGACTTTATTATTTTGCATTGATTTCAGAAAGGCATCATGAGTAGATCTTAAACAATTGTTTATGATATAACCACGCTCTACTGGCCACCGTGCAAGTATTGTTTTATGAGTAGGTTTACAGATAATTAACATGATCTGCATGCATGACAGTTGAGTACAATTCTGTATCCTAGTAGGAAAACCAGTCTTCTAAATAACTGTGATTTCTTAAACAGGAAAATACAATTCCTCCACACAGAATGTTTAATTACATTTAATAAAATATAGGTTGTGTTAGTATCTTATTAGATTTTTCAGGTGCATTTAGTTTCTTTCTCCAGCTGAAAAAAACAATCTATTAACCAGACAATGATTTACCTGTTATTCTCTTCTTCTCTCCCAAGTCTATCTCTAACCATTCTCGGTTGCTGCTGTGGTTGGAAGCCCAGGCCAGTCCTGGGACTTGAAGCCAAGCCTTGTCAGGGGACCACAGAAATTGTTGCCCAAATTCATTGGTCTCCTCCCAATAGGAAGACGCAGTAATTTGACTCTTGGAGAGGAATCCCTCTTCCAAACTGAGAGATTTATTGCAGCCTAGGAGTCCCAGCACAGACAGATACAACAAGAATTATTTTGTGTTTTCATAGCATATTTTTACTTTAGGCCAGTATCCCTTACAGCCCACCCAGAACTGCAAAGTCAGATGTTACTTAATCTAGTGCTATCCTGACACTATCCCTCAGATGTAGCATTTACCCGGGAATCTGTAGTGGATAATCCAGTACCAGAGGGTCATGGTCCCTTCTCTTTCATCAGTTTAGCTCTTACATGCCCAGCACCTCCTGATTACATTTCCCATATTGTTTCTCAATCTCTACAATATAATTTCATGCATGTGAAGACTTCTTGCTCTCTTTTTTTTTCTGTCTGAAACATAATATTTATGTTTAGAGATTAGCATTAGATAGTTTTGCGATACAAAACATTTTGAAGATGAAGGCAGACTCAGCTTTATGGTTTTCACCTGTAATTAATTCTAGGAAAGCTGCTCATTAGAGCAGCTCCTTGGTACTGCTGCCAAGAGGTGATATCATGAAGATAATAGCTGCAGATAAGCAGTACAACCTCCTGCAAAGAACCCACAAAACATTAAGGTTCTTCAGAGAAAACAGCCAGCGTGATAGAGCTTCAATGAAGTTAAAAATAATTCCCTGGCAATTTCAAAGCCCTATGCATGTTTTACATTTTTCACTGAAATAGTAAATGATTTTATCTAAGATGACCGAAGTATACCTCAAATGAATGAACTTTTCCCCTTCTTTGCTATGTTTGTACGGAAATTAACAGTTTGACAGATTAAAGATACTATTGCATCTCAGAAAGCCATAAATAAAAACTAGTTCTGCATAAGTCTAATGTAAACATATTTTAGTATGTTTTAGTTCTCTTGTTATATAATGGAGATGGAATTTATAAATATCTGAAGAGAAAGTACTTTCATTTTCTGCTAAACTACATAAAAAGTGGGATTATCAGATTGCCTTTTTTCACATACTAGCACCAGAAATGTAAGATCAGAATAGTATTTCTGTTTCTGGTCTATGTGCATATGACTGAATCTTATACTGTTTTTTTTTCTAGCTCACTTCACATCTCTCCAACTTTTTATTCAACTTGCCAATTTTTAAAAATTGCTATCCTAAAATAACCATATTATACACAGCCTGACATTCTTCTGGTAACTTCTCAAAACTTTTGCAGAAAATACTTAAGTAAAAAAGGCACAATTTGAATAGTGAGAAACGAGGCCACTATTCTTACCATTTGAGGTAAATACAAAACGTTTATCGGACAGCGAACCTCTGTAAGAAAAGAAAAAGATAATTCAGCCTTTCAGGAACAGGTCATAGGAGTGATAAAATATATTCACTGAAATAAAGAATCACTTATTATCTCACAGAGTATCTCTGGCCAGGTAACCTTCTACTTTGCTCTTTGATTACATACCGCAGCAGGAGCCCTGTTTAGCTTCTCTCACTGTGACAGAACTAATTTTAAGGGTTTTGAACATACTGGTTTTGCTCCCAAGCGACCCCGCGTGTCACCAGAGCGTTAGGGGATGTTGCTTTGTTTTTCTCCCCTGAAATGTGCCCTCTGTGGGGCACTTTGCTGGGAAGCACTTGTCCCCTGCTCCTCAAGCCAGCAACGCAAGAGCCTTTGGGAAGCCCAGGAATGGTCAGCAGGGAGGAATCGGAGCCCCTCCGGTGTAACCACAACACCCGGGCTCATTCTCCTTCACGTTAGCGTAAATTAGAGTGGCTTCTCCAAAATCAGTGAATGCCTACAGGTGTAAACCACATCAAGTCCAAAATAACTTAGCCTGGAGCAGCACAATGGTTATACTTGACTGAGTGAGACCACATTAGCTCTGGCCAGTCTTTCTTTGGCTAAACGCTACCACAGTCGGGTTGAATGGAAACCACAGGTTGTTTTATTTTACTCATGGAGCAAAGCTGTTTCTCCGCTCCACACAATCCGAGGTAATTCCTAACGATGTAAAATACGCACCGCAAGGGAAAGCTGTGCTTTCCGTGGCCTCCCCATGGAACCACTTTTCTTTCTGGCTCCCTAATCAGATGCCCTTGCTTCGCTTTTTTTCCAAAAGTGATTGCAGTGGTTGGTTGTCCAACTAAATCAAAGCCTCTGTTTTAAGCTAAGTTTAGTTCAAATTTCCTGAAAATCTGGCCTTCTAGATGTCTCCCAGTTAGTTATATACATGGGTCATCTCCTTTGAAAAATCCTGGCTGCTGTGCCTGAGCCAATAAGGGAACTCGTGCACGTGCGCATCGCGAGGCCTCCCCTCCCAACCGCTCTTCCCTGTCAACCACAAACATCTCCCTCAAGGCTCAGTCTGTGTAAGAGCACTTCACACGATTTTGCACTTTAAGAATATAGCAAACGGGGAATAGGAAGCGGTCCCACGTCAAGGTCAATCCAATACACAGCTTCTTTCCGTCAGTGAGGGAAAGCTGATGATTACGGGCAAATGAAGCCCTTGAGAGATGAAGGAGGGACCTGATTTATTTGGAGATGTGGGTGGAATAGTAGCTAGAATAAGAAACTCAACCCTTCCCTCCCACATCTGCCCCCCAGGCAATCCTCCTGGGCTATCAGATGTGCTCGGCTTGCTTCAAACCAATTGTAAATTGCAGCAAAAATGATTTTTGCTTCCTTGTTGAATACAGAGCAATCCATTACATGAGAATAGAAAAAGCAAGAACATGGTGATCAGTAAAACCTATCCAACACAGAAATCACAGCCCTCCCAGAATATGTATTTATATGAGATATCCCTTCGTAATTAAAAAAGTCACTGAAATCCCTTTTGGACTACAGGTCTCTAATTGTAGCAAAGAAAGGGATGAAGTTCACATTTTTAAAGATCTACAGAGAGATGGAGTCATACTGAAATATTTCTGATGTAATTCTGCAAGTCACTGAAAAGGACAAACTAATTCAGTAAGTGATAATCCATCAATTTCATAATGTGACAAGAGGCATTTGTCACATAAATTTCACTTTGTCCTTTAAGGGATGGTATCAAGCTGTGCTCCTCACTTTCCTGACAACCTTCACAATTTTGCCTAGCAAACAGTACTGGTGATGGGGCTGCACCCAATACCCGTGCAGGTATCACTACAAGAAAAATGCCACTTCACATAATGAATATATGTTAATGTAAAATCCTCCTTTGAGTGTCAGTCTCAAGGAAGTATTTATACAAAGGAAGCAATTCAAACCCAAACTGCAAATGACACAATTCATGAGCGCATGCAGTTGCTTCCCTCTCAGATGAAGGTGCCTCTGCACATGGGAAATCACAGACGCTCACAGACCAGCTCGGATTGCAAAGCTAAGCTCTTGTGTATTTGCACATGCATGTCAGAAGTGCCCAATAAATCTGGCCACTTGATCTTCATCGTACCATTTGTGGGCTCAGGTCTTCGCATGGATCATGCAAACGCAAAATCACCCAGATAAGAGAGCGTAACAAGCGCACTGAAAAACGAAGTTGGGGAGGCCAAGGTCAGGTCACAAGAGCTGGTGAGCGAGCGATTCACAACCCAACTGCTACGCTGGAACACAGATACTTAACAGCTCAAGGCACGTGGCAGCAGCTTTTGATGAGGTCAGTTGCAGCTCAAGTCACTAAAGAATATAAATCTTTAATGCTGAAATCTACTATAAATGAGATTTTAGGAACTTGAGTAAGCTTGCATTTAAAGGAGCATTAGGAGCTCTTAAAACACTGCTGTCCAAGTGCCAGCGTTTCCTTCAGAGCACAGGCAGTTCCAAAGGAATTTACTGCTGTGTATATGCGTCCTGAGGACAGGGAAGCTCTGCGCCTCTCTGAGGGACCTGGCATTAAATGCCCCAAATCGAAGCCTTCGTGGCTCCAAGCACACATTTCAGCTCCGGCCCCATTAAAGCAAACGGGAGCTTTGCCACTTGATGCAATAGCGGCGGGTTTTCATCTCTGCGGGCACTTTTATTGCTCATATAAAATGTATAAGACATTTTGTGAACAGCAACATTAAAAGGGCACTTGGCTGTTAAGTTCATGGGTTAATTATGCAAGCTATTTTCCCTCAGCAAGTGTACATTTGCTGTCTTTTACACTTCATTCGGTGCTCACTAGCTCTTGTATGATAAAAAAATACAAATGGAAATCCCAGCTGTCTTTCATTATGCCATTTTATATGCTACTATCCGAATTACTCCTGGGATCATCAAGGAGCACGAACATGCAAATATATCTAAATGGTTCTATAATATCTTTGTTGAAGGCACAAAAATATTTAATTGCTTAAGAGTTTCACAAAGCTGGCATGTGTGATGGAAATATTGTTTGTTTTATAGTAGGGCTTAGGGCCTGAGCTGAGCTCTCCGCTCTGTTTTGCCCCAAGATTACACTATTTTTCTTAGACAATCAGCTGCCAAGCAACATATTTAAGAAAAATACAGAAATATTTAGGCTTTACAGGCCTTCTGCTGGTGGTCTGCTTGCTACCCTGCTCTGCGTACTCCTGTGACATTGTACCAATCATCTTGATCCATGCTGAAGTTTAAGCACATTGACAGACTGGGCGAATGCTACGTTTGGCCATGGGCTCACAGGGTGAATATGGTCTGCCACACTGGGAACAGGACTTTAAGCATTTGATTAAGTGCTCATTTCTGGATTTGACATGAATGAAAATGTAAAATTGTACGGAAGACCTGGAGAAAACAGGGAAAATGGAAAAGATAAAAATAAAAAAGGCATATTCCCGTAGCCCTATAGCAGGCTATAAGGCTGAGGAAATTTCCCTTCCTAAAGAAAAGTGCCCCATGCAAAATCCAGATGTCATTAGAAAATTAAAAGTTAGGAACCAATAGGAATGAGAGAGGCAGTTGCTGGAAGGGCTTACTGTGCTGGATAGAGATTAGAGGATTTATTTCTACTTCAGCAACAGTACAATTAAAAGGCAGCAGATAAGTGGTAAATATAACACCCTTGCTATAAATATTCTCAAAGAAAAAAAAGTCTGAACATGTCAAGAACATCGTGTTTAAGAAGTTATCCATTAAATCCCCTATGGCTCAACAATGCTATTTATTTATTCATTCAGCCTATTTAAAAAAAAAAACTTGAATTGAGGATGATTTATTAGTGCAACTATTAAAGATATTCGTCGCAGAACATCGTACTTTCACGTACCTGCTAACAAAGTGATTGGCAAATATGTTTTTCAAGGAAAATAAAAATAAAGATGCAGCTTTATGCTTAAAATGGTGGAACATTTCCAATATCCACCTCCAATGCTATTCTAATAAAGCTAGAAAAACAAAGACTAGATCCCCCAAGACACACACCCTTTTTCTTTTGGATGCGGACATCTTCCCTTGCCTTTTCCTGCCTCTTTCTCCTTTTCAACCTCTTCTCCCCCCATCTTTTCCTGGGCGCGTGCTATCCCGTGCTGCATCCGTGGGTACGGGGGTAGGCGTGCGCTCCGCACGGCGGGACGGGATACTCACTCCTGCGAGGACACTCCGTTGGCCACGACGCCCTCGTAGCGGCTGATGCCCTTGTGCTGGCTCACGCTGATCTGGCCGCCCAGCTCGTCCGCCACGACGCCCGCGTGGATGGCCGACTTGCACAGCAGCGAGGTCTGAAAGGCAGAGCCCTCAGGAAAAAGTCCTGCAAGCCTTTCCCAACGCCTTCCCTCCCGAGCCGCTATTACACGTGTTTTACAGCTCATAAAATTCTGCTCATTGCAGAAAGTTAGATCCCTTTCCAGAAAGCCAAGTTTTTAAAATGAGAAAAGCAAATAATCTGCTCCTCAGAAGGTGCCATAGAGTCTGAACCTAGTGAATACAGTTGCCCTCCTTAGGAAAACAGAGTCAGAGGCAGGGCAACCACTCGCCTTTGCAAAGAGAAAATGAAAAATTTCTTGTGGTCCTGCCTGAAGCCAGATATCCAGACTATCTATTCCTGCCTGCTGACTTAGGAGTTGAGGCATGGGAGATGTTAGGAAATTTGACAGTCTGGTGGCTGCCCCTGAGTTTTAACTATAGTCCTCAGTCCCTTTGCTAGTATCTCAGGTAGGGTAATACTGATAAAGACAAAAAAAATGGGGGGATGGAGTGGAGGAAAGGACATGAAGGCAGCAGGGGCTACTTGGGCACCCTAAAAGCTGCTTCACCGGGAAGGCTTCACTGCCTTCCTGTCAGCAGTGGAAGGGAAATTTCTTGCAAAAATTCCTGAGGGCAGAAGGGTAGATAAGATCTGCACAGGTCATGCCATGCGCTGCCTTTTTTTTTTTTTCTTTTTTTTCCCCCCTTCCCTTAATGACCCAGAAAGGCAGGAATAGCTCCTGCTAATTACCATCTAATGTGGCATTTCTTTGTTTATTGGCTCTGCCATTTCCCAGACTGCAGTGGCATGCTGGAATAACTGGATGAACAGGTTAGACACGAACAGGTTAGACGCCAAGTTTCTGGAAACTCAACAACTGCTTTATTGGAGATAAGGTGGGATTTTACTTCACTGGTATGACTAAACTTGCTCCACCGTGGGAGATGTAAAAGTGTCACAGGAACGAAGGGAGGAGAGGCTAGAGTGAGAAGCAGAGCAAGGGCAGAGCAATACTTGATATTACCAAGGAAAAATGTAACTACTCAAGAAACTTCTACACTTTCAAGAAGAAATAATCAATAAAAAAGGGAAAAAGAAAAAAAAAACAGTTCAATGGCTTGGCATTTGTGAGCAGGAGGTGATTAGGAAGTGTATAATATTCACTTAATCTCAGAGTAGGTTCCTGTAATACTGTAGGCAAAATTTTAATGAAAAGCCATATGTTATAGAAATTTGTTATTTTTCCTACAAGAAACTACTGAAGAGAAGTGCCCCACATCCAAACAAGTACAAGCTGAAGAGACAGAAATGTTTAGTGTATTAACAAACACTGCTTTGAGGGGGAAAAACTCTATGCAGCCAAAAAGCTAGAAACCAGCGGTCAGCAGGCATATTTGACAGTCAATAGAATTGGTTCACAGAAAGTTGATTATTCTGTTTAAAAATGTCTCAGTATGTCTATATACTGATGACATGCTAATATGCTGATAATAATAATTGTATCTAATGCAGCTGGGAAGAAATACTAGCAAAAGCCAAGCAGCAGAATTTGAAACTTTAATTTGTACTATATAAATCTTTATAAATCTTCTGCGTTTATGCATTTCTGCCCTAATTTGTGTACTTACATCTCTGTATCCTTCTATTATATTCCCAGAAATGTCACCCGCTACGTCTCTGCAGCCAGCAGGACAATATCTGCTGTAGTTAGAGAAAAGGCTTTTTTAAAATACGAAGTGTAATGATGATATATAGAGACATACTCATACACATGCAGTGCTCACAAACTAATAAATATTTTAACAGTAAATTCTGACTGATCATCTGCAAGTGATTCTAGAAGGTAAATGTGCCCTTGAGTTCCTCCATGGACTGCACATAGCAGCACACACACAGAGCCAGGACAGCAGTTTGCAAATGCATTTTTCTTTAATTCTCTTGTTCCAGAGATGCTACTACAAAAGCTTCCAACATAGCCCAGATAAGACGCCTACATCCACATCCAGACAACAACCAGAAGAGTACAATTTATTACCATTTCAAATACTATCATAAAGTTCAAGGCCTTAAGAAATTATAGCTTGCCCCGAGATAATCTGTTATCAGCTAGGGTGTGATCATGCAGGATCTCTTCTGCTCTCAAGAGATGCAATGGAACTTGAGGCTACTTTGAACTTCAAAGTGCAAACTCGTTTTACATATACTATGTATAAGTGTGCCCAAATCAGGATTGCTGAGTGCTCTGTAATTTGATTCCCTCATGTTTTTTCTGGACCACAGACTTCTATTCCACGTTACTGCCTCTCACAACCAGGCCTTGGATTATTACAGCACTGTGGCTCAAAAGCAGTCACTATTCCAAAAAAGTAGGATTCTGCATTTTTTGTGTGATACTTCACAACTATCAGTAGACCGGATGACAGAAACAGAAAAGTATCTGTCAGTACAGAGAAGGCTAAATCCCTTTACCTGTACTCAGCCTTTGTGTGATGATTTCCTCTTTCCAAACATGTGATGAGATCTGTGAAAAGTTTGCAAATATAAATCCCAATTGCAGTACACAGAAAAACAGAAGAATATTTGTCTAAAGGTGAAAATACATTTAAAGATCTCTCTGTATAATAGTTACACAATTTTATTAGCTAGAAAGCAACATATATGGTTTCCCTCATTCTTTTCATCTCCCTCTTCTACTCATCATGTGTTTTACACAGAGTGGAGTTTCTGTCACCTTCAACAAGGTTGCACAGACCCCAGAACATCAGCAGTAGAAATTAAACTAATCTTTACAGTCCCATCATTGAATAGTAAATGCCGGAGTACAGGGCACAGTGGTGCCTCCAGAAGAATGTGTTCATTTTCTATTTCTTTTGCCCAGTACTGCAAATTGTCTAGGTAAGATTTTAGCAGCCTTCATATCTGTTTAAGGTTACAAATGCTTCTTGCATACATGCTGTTAAAAACATTATGGTTTATGCTAATTTTTGGAAATACTTTTGACCAGATGGTGGGCTAAAGCTTGTATGTGGAGAAGATGTGAAATGGGGAGGACTATACTGTGCATCCACTAGAAGCAGTGCTTTAGGATTTGACTTTACCTGGATGGTCACTACTGGCATACGACAACAGAAAGCCTCGTCCTGACACGTGGGATCCACTCTCAAAGTGAATAGTTGCTTCGTTACTATCCAAAATGATCTCTTTGGGAACAGGCATTACATTGCCACAGTATGGCCCTATGGACAGAAGAAAGATCATTTCAGAAGCTTAGACGACATAGCAAGGCGGAAACATTTTTATGATAAAAAAGTGAATTTCATAACATGCTCATTCTTCTCTTTCAGGATGATTCCAAATGTTGACAAAAGGATTTTGGCTTCAGTCTTTATGGGCACAATCTCCAAAGTTACCCTGGCAAGAATCCAGTTTTCTCTGCATGGTAAAAATTCTAGCATTAACATCTCTCACCACTTAAGCCTTAAGAGAATGATTAATACGCTTCAGCCTTTGAAGTATAACATTCTTAAAAACACCAGTAACTCATTGGAGAAAAGAATAGACCATTTAAAGGCAATCCAAGGGACCTACATAGGGTCCACTAGATAAAACTCTCCAGATGCTTACAGATCCTGCAGCTTTAGTGTAACAGCTATTTGGAAAAGATTAAGATCACAAACCACATACCTGGTTTTAAAGGGCATGGATGTCATGAGTCAAGTTTTACAGCAACCCAGTACCACTTACCAGGTACTCAGAAAATCTGTTCATTTATTTTCCATCTAGAAATATCTTTATGTTATTGAAATATGTAACTTAAGTTTCATTTAGAATTTGAAATGGAAAACAGGCCAGGGGAAGGAGAAGGTGAGAGAATAGGGAAGGAGAGAGACAGCAGTGGGAGGTAAGCAGCTAGGTAAGTTTTATGACTTCCAACTGCCAGTATCTTGCAATACTACTTGGGACACCGCTTTCTTGAGCCAGGAAAAATCTCTGGGACTTTGGATAAGTCCTGATTTGCATTTAATAGGTGCTTTCTGATAGGCTCCCTTTCAAGTGTCTCTTCCAACATTTTTATCCTCTTGGGTTGGTCTTTCCCAAATACTTCAGCAGCCTCACAACAACTATAAGAGCAGCCTATAGGGAGTAACACAGTCAGACCCAGCAGTACTCAGTTATTGAGAGACCAAAGATAAACTGAGTTTTGGCTTATAAATTAAAAGGCAAAGTCAGGCAGGCCCAGAAACAAAGTGACAATTCTGACATTTCTCCAGAGTACTCACGTGTTGCCAATGACTCACCACTTAGTCACAGAAAATAATGTCTATAAAAAGGGTTAAACAAGTCGCTTAGGAAATGAACTTATCAAAAAGACAGCATCTGACACTGTGTCATACCAGGCAACTGCAAGAGTGATTTATTTGAGAAGGTCTTTTGTGTCAAGTTGCAGTGGGAGAAGTAAAGTGCTAACTTAGATTTTCTTTTTTTTTTTCCTTTGAGAGGAGTGAGGGGAAAAGGGGGAAATGACAAGAAGACATTACATTCACTTCAAATGAAATATCTGAGAAAGCTTTAGTTCTTTTCTTCCCTCCAAGACAGATTCTACGTGTGTAGGTTCATACACACCTATACGTGTAAGCATCTTCTCACAAACAAGCTCTCTCCCTTGTAACAATTCCCAGGGACCTATCTACTGCTTGGGTATGACTTAGTCTGCTGAGTCACTCAACCACACACCTCTCGTAGCAAGTCTACATGTGTTCCACTTAATTATACAAACAAATCACATATGTCACAAGCAAAAATAATAAAACAAAGTTGTCTAGACGTAGAGAGTTGTATAGACAGAGGGTGGTATATAATACAAACGCAAGCCAAATATCCAGAAAGAGCTAGCTTAAGAAATCAGCACACAGTGCCTAAAGACTAGCTTTGTACTGTTAAGCAACAAGGCCTATAATGGTTATAAATCCTATGACCGTCTTCATGACAATCTCAGTTCTGGAATGCCTTGGGAGACTCCAATGGATAAATGGGCTTTAAGAATCTCAGAACAAGTGGGTCCAAGACTAACTATCTAAAAGATATGTAGGACTACAGAATGAACATTTTCCAAAAGGTTTATTATTTTTTTGCTTGGATTTGGGGAAAAAAATATGTATTTCTTACTACAACTGAATATTCTCTTGTCCCTTTTTTTTGCAAGCTGGTGCATCCTTGCAAATTATCTGGCCTCAGTTCCTCTGAATTCAGGCAATAGATCAGTAGCCAGATCATTAAGACTGTGCTGGGGTTTGGTACAGTTCAATTCTGTGCTACACATACAGAAATTAACGCTGATACGTAGCACTGAAAAAAAAGCATTATCTCACACCTCAATTGATGTTTAGAGAAGCTGATTAGATACTGTTTTAGTTTAGGGGTTCTTTACTGCATGTAATCATGTGTAATCTGTTTTCAGAGAAAGATTTTATCCTTCTCTCTCTCATGTTCATTGTGTATAGAAACATCAATTAAGCACTTTTCCAATTTGGTTTACCCAGTAATTTTATGTTCAGCAGCACCTTTCTCCATTCTGCCTGGCTTCTACAGAGTGGCCTTTTTAACTCTTGATTCTTGTTTTCCCCACAAGTAATTTACTTTACATTGACAAACATCCAAGAAATCCCTCAGGATGATAATTGGCAATACTTACAAAATAAAATTCAATCAGGATAAGACATTGATTTTGATTTATTTTGACCTTTCTAATTTTCCTTAGAAAAATATTGTGATTATTTCTCACCGCAAATTATTTCTAACCTCTTTCCTATGCACTTCCATAAGGTACGTCTCCATTGAGTTTAGTGGTGTAAAGCCACATAAAGGAGGCTCAGAGACTCCAAACTTTTCAGGTTGTGGGTGTTTGTATTAGATGTGCTTTCTATACACAGTGCAATGCTCAGTAGATTTCCTCTCCATTGACTTGTCCAGTAATATGGGATGCTATAGACATTAGGAGGTTAAAATCCATCAGCCTCTGTAGCCCTTGGTCTTCATTTGAAAACCACGCATTTACTAACTCAGTATTTTCCACCTGAAATTGAAGTGACAAGGATGCATATCAAAAATACTATTTTATCATCTATTTTTAAGGCTTGTAAGTACTCCTTGTCCCCTATGTGCACTCTGCCTCGGGTTAGTCGTCCACCCCAGGCTGTCCATATGAACACTGCACAACCACCGCAAAGAGAAGAGATGATGAAGAAAAGTCTTGATTTGTGTCTGCTGTAGAAATGAGATGCTGGTTTACAGGACCTTGTTAAAACTTTCACCGCAGGCCTTGGATGTGACTCAGGATAAATGTCTAATTTCTAAACTTGATACCAAGCCAAAGGTTTTTATGATGCCTTTTGGAAAATGCCAGATCACGTTATCAGTTTTTCATTTTCTGGTGTTTGTTGCAAGGTGGGTTGTTTTGCATATTCAGTTGAGAAACAAGTCACGAATGTTGGTTTCTCCCTGTTCAAGTGGCTCTTGAATGTCTGCTAGAATAAGTAGGCAGAGTCATTTGAGTTGTTTACTAAGAACAAAGAAAAGATTTTTCTTCAGAGAGATGTGTTATCTGTCCTGTGACTGAGTAGGTGTTTTCCATATTTCAGCATTACTACATCCAGATGCCTTCTCTTCTTGCAATGTCTCATTAAAGATCTGACACAACTATGGTTGCATCTTTTTACTACTGAGTACATATATATATTATTTTTAATTCTACAGGAAAAGTTTTTAGGGGCTTAGGAGTTTCAAATGTATACCATTTAATATTTACTATAAATAAATATTTAATGCCTTTCTTCTAGAACTCCTGATCTGTTAACACGGTTTAGGTGGTTTAAACAAAGTACTTTCTTTTTTGGGGGGAATCATTGTCTCCAAACAGTAATAACATCCTGTAAAAACAGCACTCTGTAAATTGTCTCATGGATATCCTTTGGTTGGCTCATCTGGAGACTGAAGAGATTATTCTACATGTTTATTTTTTAAATGCTAGCAATAGTCTACTGCTTTTGTCTTTTTCATAATAGTGTTGTTTCGCCAATCCAATGATCTTTACAGCACTGTCTATTTTATTAAGCTTGGTTTACTCCTACTGTCAACCAATCTCTGTATATTTCCTGAGGAATGTAATTCAACTGCTTTGTTGAATTTTGTTGCTTTATTCTTTTGACTTCCCCTAAGAAATGCTGTGCCTGGAAGACTTTTATCTCACAATATCCAGCATTACTTAAATGCTGTTTTCTTCTTTTTCTTTCTTCTAAAAGCACTTTTTTCACCTGTACCTATTGCATGCCTTATTCTACTTTCAGGAATTCCTAGCTTTATTTGACATTTGCAGAGGTTTAAAACTCAGCTTTGATATCATAGCTCTTGAAAACCTCTCTTCATCTGAAAAACTCTTTTTTATCTTGTCTTCAACACTTGTCTTGCAATGTAACCCATGGCTGAGGTGCAATGTGTAGCATCAACCCAATGGATCTGCCTCTCTGAGACCATCATTAACACCACAACTTCCCTAAGGAGCTGCGTGGGGAAAACAACAATATGAGCCTCCAAAATACAGGATCTTGGCTACCTGTTCTCACAGACTTGGGGCTTGCTTGACCCCAAGTGGGATACCCTAACCTTTTAACAGATCTTTGCTTTTAACTAACCTGAAAGACAGCAGCACTGCAAGAGTTAGGAATCTCTAGCAGAACTGCACCTGCTTCGTAAAAAAGAAAATGCAGAAAAATATGCAATTTATGCATCTAAGAGAAAAGTATGGGATTCGATAAAAGAAAAGCAGACATTCTTTCCAAAGCTGAAAACTTGGGATACTGCAAGTACTCAGTCGAAACCCAACTTCTCAGAAGAGTTTTGGCTATTATGAAACTGTTCAACTTGATCATCAGTGAGAACCTGTCTGGACATTTCGCTGGGTTTCCTGAAATACCAGAAACAAAAGCATAACCACATATTTCCTTCAAGGGGAGAGAAAGAAACCCGGCCACACCCTTTATTCAAGTGAGACATTTATTACAGTATATACTAAGGAAAAACTGGTTCAACAGATGCCCTCAAGCCATAGTGAGGCATGGCAAACGCTCGCTTCTCCACATAGACACTACTCCTGCACATCAGTAAATGCTCAACTTTTCTAACAGCCCTCAGCGGCTGGATGTGGAGTGGAGAAAGCATTTTCCGTATTTTCTCTAGGAATTTCACACTAGCTACTGGTTGCAAAATATGCAAGAACAAGTTAACTTTCCAAATTATTACTAGTCACTCAACATATCTGACATTCACCCCAGAGGAGCACATCAACCTCCTACTGACTACAAGTGAATGAAGAACTAAGTAGGCACTTAGCTGTTTAATTTGTCTTTCCAGTCAAGACTGATGATCACCTTACAAAATTAAGGGGAGAAAAAAAAAAATACTAAGCCATTAGTTGAGGAAAGAAAAAGCAAGAAAAAAAGGGGCAAAAGAAGTAGAGAAATCTGACAAAAACATGAGAAGAAACTCTCTAAAATTAATCCATATTGAACTTTTAAAACATTCATGTTGCACACAATCACCTTCTTGAGAATTCAACTTCTTAGAAATTAAATGGTTAATCTTGTTTTCACATATCCTCTTAGTAAAAAAAAATTAAAAAAAAAAAAGCAATATTCTGAGCTCAGTATCTTTACATGCTCAGATAATACAGTTCACTCTGGGAGAAGAGCATTTCAATAAGGGTTATGTGTTGTCCAGACTGCACAATTCCCTTTGTGGGGCATGGAAAGTACTCCTGTCCAATGCAAAGCTACGCCTTTGAAAGGAGACATCATATATTTATTTCTACTAGGGAAAACATGTGCAAAAGCTGCGCTAACGTTCAACAGTACATCAGAAAGGTAACTCAGTTTCACCAAAACTGATGTTATACTGCTTTCCAGGCTGATGATTAATAATTTCACCTCTAAATCTGGTTTATCATGCTAACAGTCTGAAAGAAAGTCTGTTACAAATCGTTCTTTCAAAGTACACTCAAGAAAATAGTGTGAAGAGTAATGACTCTGAGATACCATTTTCAGCTGCTATAGGACAATCTTTTGATGGTGATACCGTAAAAGCCTAAATACGATGGCTGCCTTCTCTGATTCATCAAATCCAGAAGTGTTGAAGGTGAAAAGAACAGTAGTGTCAGGTTTGAATCACAGCTGAAAAGGAGGCTATAGTCAACATAAGCCATGGTCGGTACGCGCTTTTCTAGAAAGAAACGAGACTAGACTCATGGCACTCTGGTGTTGCTCTACAAAATTTGAAGAATGCCTGAAACTTAAATAAAAGTTACATTCAAGTGCATTTAAGTGCTCTGTTATATAATCTGTAGTGACAGACTTGCTAAAGGGAACAAGTTCCCTGGCTAAAATAAGCCCGCAAATTCACTCACTTGTACATAACTGCTTCCCTTTAGGGTATGGAACATCGGTGTCCCAGCCACGAGCTGAGTTACTGCCCACTTTATTGCATGAATCCCAGCAAAATGAATGCTGAATGAATCACAGTCTCATAATAAAGAATGACATGTGGGGAAATCTTAAAGGAGGGTTTAAAATAAATAAATACATAAATAAATAAAATAATAAAAAAAATTGAAGACCTTTGAAAACAGAAGACGTATTTTTTCACACTGTTGTTGCATTTATGTGGTATATATTTTGTGTAGTATTTTACCTTGACCAATTTTCTAAGCTGCAGATATATTCCTTAGTAGAAGTGCATGCACATACTGACATTCACTCTCTTGTTTTCTGAAGAATTCAGGTGAACAGAACAATATTTAAAAGTTTCCTTTGAATCTTCTGTTTTTATAATGCGATACCTCCTAATTAAAGAGCAGGGACCATTTGACAAATTTGGAATACAAAAAGTATTCACTCTGCCTGGTTTCATACAATAACTTTTAGGTTTTCCCTTTTAAACTTAGGCCAGATACAGAAAACCAAGATCATTCAAATACTAGTTTTCCATTGCTCAGATATTTTCAATATCTAAAAAAAAAAAATCTGTTCAACTGTCCACCACCTATGAAAGAATTTCAGTAGCATAGGGCAACATCTTGGCCGAGAAGGGGAGATATTGACCTGTCTGTCCATGTACACGATGAGTAGAGGGTTGCAAAGACGATGTCGGGGCTTGTTAGAAGGATACTTAGTAGGACTCACAGAGCTATTTTGTCTTAGTTAAATGTATATTAAAACCCAGAGCTGTAGAAAGACTTGGAATTACTTGAAGTCCTCATCTCTCTCATCTATGAGAGCACAAGTGTTTCTGTGAATTTATGTATTTAGCACTGTCCTCACTATAGGTCTACACAGATTTATGGTGGAGACTCCACAAGTAGGCTGAAGGGAAAATCTACAGCAAGCTGCAGACCACAAAAACCATTATAGATAACATATTTGCTAAGCTTAATCAGATATGAGCAAAATCTGCTAATTGTGCAGTTCGCCACTGCATATGCAAATTTTAGCCCCCATGCATCAGACATTACTAATCAGACCTATAAATTGGCGTGGGAATATTTAAAAAAAATTGTATGTATTTGATTGCATAATGCACAGCTATGTTTATTGGCTGAATAATTGCACAACTGAACTATGTGAAGATATCTTCAAGCTGATGTGTAAGGAGACAAAAATTCAAGCAGCATTCAAGCTTCCCTTTCCATTTCAGAAAAAAAGAGAGCTACTATATTGTATATATATATACTATATTAAAAAGGCCTTTGATTACAAATGTCAAGATAATATCATTAAAAACTATTAAAAGATATGATCATGAAATACTAAACACCTATCACTTAGCCAAGTACAGTCAGTATACTTGATGAATAGAATTAATTACTCACTGCTCCGAAATGAGGTAAACAGCACAAATTAAAAAGAAAAAAAAATGCAGGCACACAGACAGAAATGATCCTTTGCCTCAGATGGAGCTATGGGCTATTAGACATGAACACATCACTGTTCATGCTCGGTGACGACAGTTTCAAAATGTAATAACCTCCCTATTGAAGAGCAATAATTACCTTTAACTTCATTTGTCAGAAAGCCTTTAATAACTCAGTTGATTTTATCTTACCAGATGACTTACAGGCCTATCATATCCCTGAAAGAAAGGCAATCAGCTTTCCTTACTAGAAAAATACCTTAGGAGTCTTAGGAGAATCCCACACTTGACTGGGACAAAGAGCTGGGGTCACCTTCAAAACAGGCTGTGAAAAGCCCTGTGTAGCTTATTTCTCTGTTTTCTTCTCCTATTGAATCCGTTCTTCCAGCATAAGCATATTTACCTGCAGCTACCTGAAGGGCTGCAGCCCACTCCCATCAGGCAAATTTTATGAAGTTTTGATTCACAAGTTTATTCACACTGAATGGGACTCTGCTTGAACACAAAAGTGACTTCTGCCAACAGGCATATGGACTTGAAAAACAGTGTACCTCTTCTAGAAGGAGCAGATCAAAAGTTTCAGCAATAACTGATGGGGAAACTGATGTGAGGAACGCCTTGGGTTCTCCCTGAGGAGGGCTGTTATTAAGTGCACAGCTTTAACATATTTATTTACTTATCTTCCTATGCAAATCTTACAGAAGTGCAGACTGGCTGCACATATTTAACTTCTGCAAGTATGGACGCAGCAAAGATTATCAGTGAATAAGAGCTAGCAATAGTCCAGGTTATTGACACCCCTCTCCCCTGCGTTCCAGGCTGCGCTTTGGCTACGTCCCCCTTGCAACGGGTGAATGCACCAGTGCTGGTGGTAAGTCCATGTTGGCCAGGCGAGCACTTCTGCACATTCCCAGCTTTGTGAGGTGTGATGGGCAATGGCTTTACATGCCGTGAACAGAACATTGGAATTTTGGAAGAACAAGGGTAACACTGTCCTCATTTTCTCTCGAGTTAAAATGAACTTCTACACAAACTTTTACCAATTCACACATTTGCCATTACCTTATGTTTTACATACCATGTGACATTGAAGAGCTCAGGATGGTAAGGTAGCTGGTTTCACATTTCTGTGACTCAATATCCAGGTCTCCGATTTTTAAGATCAGGCGTTTTCCCTGAGGCACTTGGATTTTCTTCTCGCAAACAGTGTAGTTTGGGTACGTCCCAGGGTAGTTCCTGGATGCCAGGGTCCCACTGTCTTGGTACATCACCACATGCCCACATCCATCCCCTAGAGTAAGCAAGGCACCAAGAAGGAGAAAACATATTTTAAAACAATAATAATAAAATACTGGTCATATAATCTTGTCTCACGTATACACTTTCACATTAAAGAAAAATATTTTATAGTATGAGACCTCTGTTATGCCGTTGATGGAAAACAAAAAAGTAGAATAAAGTGTCATATTTCTCCCATGAAGCAGCAGAGATGTCTGGAAATATGCACAAACTAAGATCTATTTGACAATACAGTCTCTCTGGTTTTCTGTTTCACGGGCCTTGCTGAAACCATAAAGATACAACCCAAAATGTAGTAGATAAGCTTCTTCCTTAAACATTTTTCTACCAATTACTATTCCCAGTTTTGTTTCCATACAACAGAGCCATCGGGAGAAGGAAACAGAATCACACACGACAGTGCAGACGTGATTTAACTGCATAATATCACCATCCCGACTCGCCTTACTTTCCTGTTGGTTTTCTTGCTCTGCTCATCCAACGTGCAAGTGTGAGGGACAAAACGTGCCCAGAGAAGCAGGACTTCAAAAAGGAGCAAAGGGATGTGGGAATTGAGATGGAAAACAGGAAGCATCCAGGAAGGAATCCAGGGGAAGGAAGCAGGCAACAGATAAGGGACTGTGACTACCAAAGGAAGCAATCCACAGTGTCTTAGTAACTCAAAATGTCTATTTTAAGGCAAATCGTTCTGATAAAGCTTCTAAATAATGGAAACGGTTGCAATAGTGGAACTACTGTCCTGTGTATGTGCACGTAAAGCACAGTCGGTTTTAGGTCAGTCAGAGCATAGAGGCCTTATGTATCGTTATCCTTTCTTACTGCAAAAATTAAAATTAGTCCTAAAAATGTCAATAAAATAAAGAAACCCAAAGAGGTGGGCTATCCTTTAAATATCAAGCACTTTGCTCCTGCGGATATTTTGGTTAAATAGAAATAGAAATATTTTGGTTAAAGTTTTTCTTTTTTTCCTTTTTTTTTTTTTTTTGGTTAAAACTTGTTTGACTTGCCCCTTTTAATTACTACCTGAATACCCTTCCACAGTTCCTAGGAGGAACACACTTAAGACTTGATAAGACTGTTTCAAGGTGAACAGCTAGAAATGAAGTGTTGACAAAGAAAGGAACGTGACGTGCCGGGGGTGGAGGGAGAGCGGCACACTGCAGAAATAAGCTCCAAGCGATGCAACTTTGCCTCACTGCTGTGCAATTACACTGCCATTTCATGCAACTCACTCAACCGCCCTGTCACAGGCAGCAACATTTATTTTGAAGCTTTATCCTTATTACCAGCTTTGTTGCTCACTACTTAATTCTGTTGTACATTCATGCTTGGAATAGAGGAGAAGAGGAAACAGATCCAAAAGTATATCACCACACAACACTTTTTTCACATCTCCTTGTTCACACATTTTTCAGAATACCTCTTGTTAAGATATCCTTATCCTAGCTCTATTGATTTTTGAATGCATAGGCAAATAGTAATGATAAAAGGCAAACTGCCCTTCTGAGCAAATCACCTTCTCAATGGGAGCTTTCTGCTGTAGGAATCTAAATACTAAGAGTGATGCTGTGTACGTGCTGCCAACCTCCTGCACCCAGAGAGAGGTACAGGGAGGATTAGTCTAGTGGGGGGCACAAGACACCCTTGCTGTCTGTGCAGCAGACTGGTATGTGGTAAAAAATAAACCGCGCCTGGCCGTTATTTAAACTGTATGTTTCTAATGTAAGCATTTACTTTAGTTAGGCTTAGGGAAAAAAGGATTAATTGCAATGTGGAGTTTGCCATGCAAGTTATTCTCAAAGGGAAAGAAAAAAGAGAAAGTAAACGAAAAAGTTACACAAGCACAACAAAATGTCATGGAGCTGAACTTTCTAAAACTCAAAAATCCTGGCCTTTGATTTCTCTTATCCTTGTCAAGTTACATTCCAGCCTGTGCTACCTCCAAACAATGTCAAGGATCCTTTGTGATATAGAAGTTGTCTCAAAAAAGCTGAAAAGACACCATGGTCCTGGTGAGACCCTGACAACTGTACAGGTCACAGACTATTATATTCCTGCCGCAAGCGGATGGGCAAAACGGCACCACAGGCCCCAGCCTGACGTCCTCTTCTGCGGGGGTTATTCCAGGTCTTGTTCCCAGGGAAACTCCCTTTTCAAATTTTCTCTTTGAACCAGCGCTGAAATGAATTAAAGCCAGAACAGTTCCTTTGTGTTGAGGACATATAAAAGTTATTTCCTGACTTTTCACTTGTGGAAGCTGGGCAGGAAAGTCATCCAAATATTCATGCTGAGGAGAGGCAAGCAAAGTGTCACCTCATCCATAACCCCGCTTGCTGCCTCCGATCTGCCCACGCACCTCAAAGGACAAGGTCACCATGAAAGCTGCTCTGTCACAAGGACTGAGGTAATCTCCAAAAAGTCATGCTGAGTCTTCAGTAGGTACGAGTCCTTATAGAGAAGCCTGACTATGGTCTTGAATTTAATTTCTCGGCTATTAAAGATTACCAGAACAGGTGACACTAAAATTTGCTGGGAAATGCACCCTACAGACGGAGTTTGAAGGTAACAGGGAAGGCAGACAAAAACTCAGGATCAGATAATTCATTTAAAGAAAGATTTTAAACACAGTATAGTGAAAAAGTTTTAGGTATAATTACACCATTTCAATAGGAAACTAGATGCGAAAAAGCTAATGACAGTCTTGTTCACAATTTTCTATATAACATTTTGATTTTCAGTAGACATATATATTGGTCATGTCTCAAACCTCTCAGTTTTGAACTACAGCTACTTGTCCTCATAAAGACTACAGGTTAAATACCTCAAGTCTTCTTTTTCTCTATAGATACAGCTCTTCTGGCTAGAAATATATATTTAACCAGTCAATTCAATACAGGGTTTATTGCTATCACTAAGTTTTTATTTACCATTACTTTTGACAACTACTTTCTATCACCCCATTTTGTGACTTGGGTCTTGCCTCAGACCTCCAAGTTTTACCATTACTCCCTGAACTGCAGCAAAGCAAAATATCTGAGCCCAAGTTATTTGGCAACCAGGAAGTCTAAACATGCTCAGGCTTAATAAGATATCGCCACTACACCAGGCCTTACTAAGAGCATATCAAACAGGCTTTGCAAAGGGAGTTCCCACAGGCATGAGAACCACATTCAGGATGGTAGTCATTGGGTTGAGGGTGCCTGCTGGCCTGCGCTCAGGTTGCACCAAGGCTCACGTAACGCTGGAATTACGCCTGTTTATCATACAGATAAAAATAGTGTCTGTAGGAGATCATGGAAATAGCTCCCCCAAAACCACAGGCAGCATCTGCTCCTGCAAACACTGCACATCGCTCTCACCTGGACTTTGCTTGTGCTAGTAGTGACGCATACGCTTGAAACCAAAACCTGAAGGGCTGATTGTGAACTGCAGCAGTGAGAGAGCTCTGAAAATACCACAGCCCCCTCCAAGCCCCTGCTGCCATCCCAAACCAGCTGCCTTCACATGTGCCTCGCCCTGTCTCTCCCAGGGCCTGACTTCATGTCACCAGAAACACGTGTGCTACCAGGCTTGTTCCCCCTTACAATGGGCCAAAAACTCAGGATATTACCCTCCACGGCAGCAAAAGCTGTTGTCAAATACTTTATTAAAAGCCTGCGTGCTACATGTTTTACACAGCAGAGCTTATCCTGCCAACCACGAAAGAGCTACAGAGCTTTCTGTCAAAGTGTGCCTTCAGAAGTGTTGCTACCGCGTCCTGGCAGAAAGCAGCCGCCTCTTCCGTCCTGATTCACACTCACCCCACAATTAATAACCGCCTGGAGCCCCTCCAGCCCTGGAAAGGCTCACACCTAAGCGCAGAGTGCACGTACATGGCTGCTCCGCAGCTCCGCGAGCCGCCTGGCGCGGTGCTGCTCCACTCTGCTCCCGGGAACCGCTACAGCCCAAACAGAGACAGGGAGCAAGGAAAGAGCATTTTCGGAAGAGCTGTAACTGCAGCTGGAGATGGCCAAGGTGAGAAATTGCTGTGGAGCATGTGGCTTTGCGAGCTCTGCTGATAGGTAATCACCCTGCAAGGACTAACTCCTCTCGTTTTGCTTTCCCAAGCCTTGCCTGTGCTGTATGAAGACATACAGTAAAAACTGAGCCCAGAAAGAGCTCTTCCCCCACATTTGACAGAGCTTCACCCTACACCCACAAATTGGTGAGCATCCAAAGAAGTGCTCAAAGAAGTGGAAACCTTTCCAGTCAAGCCCGTGCTCTCCCTGCCCCCACGAGATTGCAGGAAATCCCAGGGAAATCCCAGGGGATTTTTTTGCTGGAGGCCACCCGAGCTGGCTGCCGTGGTCTGGCAAAACTTTGATTTGAAATGCACAGTCACAAGCACCTCCATCACTAAACGAGTGGCTTGTGACCTGAGCATAACCCGAGCTTGCACTTCCACTGCTGTGCGACTGAGCAAATTCCAGAATTAGGCACTTCATCCCTAACCTCTTCCTTGGCAAAACTAGGTCAAGAGCTTCAGCTCTTTCTGCACGGATGCAGGGAAGGAAGAGGGAGGATCTCCCTGCAGATGAGGTCCATGTGGCTCCCTGTTCCATCCAATGATGGATCTCGGAAATCTTCACCTGCCCGTTCATGGAGACAACAGAAAGGAGAGGGGGCGGCACAAGCCTGAGGCACAGCCCACCCCCTGGGCTCCAGATCTATGTTCTTGGCAATATTTTGGGAAGCCTGCAGAAAGTATTTTCAAATAATGAAAGAAGCCACTGGAAATTAAGGCAAGTCTACAATCAAAGACAGCTACTGCAATATGCCATGACCTTTAAATTAGTGCTTTTCATTTTGCATCTTAAGAGAAGCCCACCACTTCTCAGCACGCCCTGCTCCAGAAAGAACCTCTCTCCCCACCCAAAAACAAAACAAGATACTCCCACATATTTTGTAGAAATGTTCTTTGGATTGTATGGGATTGCGAGAGGTCCCCAACAAA